GTGAGGGGCAGTAGATATTTCCTATACTAAAAACAAAGGAGCTCTCATTGCCAGCAAAGGTGCGCTTAGAGGTAAAGTGTGCTAGAGGTATTCTGCCAGCTTGGTTCTCGTGCTGTGCAAATGATGCTAATTATTTACTGTTAAATATGGTTGATGACAACCACCAAGATCGCTGATGTACTCTTGTCCTCTGAAGAGTAACGCTGAGGTCTTTGGGCTGTGCACCTTGTAAGCAAAGTCCGTGTTCTGTTGCAGCAACGCAGCTTCTGAAGCTGGCACACAAGTACAGGCCTGAAACTAAGCAAGAGAAGAAGCAAAGGCTGCTGGCTCGTGCAGAGCAGAAAGCTGCAGGAAAGGGAGATGCTCCAACAAAGAGGCCACCAGTCCTCCGAGCAGGTGAGTTGTCTGCTTGTGTATGCAGGAATGGGAGACTTCGTTAGACAGCTAATCAGGAGATTTGGCCTTTTGCTTCAGCCAAACAAGGTTGGACAAGCTATTGCAATGATGTATGAATTTCTTCACCTGAGCTCAAAGTGAAGAGCGAAAATAGACGAGCTTTTTAACCCTGAGCTTTAGCAAATTGTCCATAGAATGTCACCTTTGGCTGCCTGCATGAATGTGAAAAGTTTCTGTTGTCATACTGAAGCTGTGCTATGGAAGCTGAGTTGGTTAGGCTAGGCTCATATAAAAGCTCTGAAAACAGATTGCAATGGAGTAAAATCTTTCTGTAATTTGTTTTTCAGGTGTTAACACTGTTACCACTCTGGTAGAGAACAAGAAAGCTCAACTTGTTGTAATTGCCCACGATGTAGACCCCATTGAGGTAAGCACACTCAGCGGATGTCCATCTCTGGAAACGTGCTTGGGTGTCATTAGTCAGCTCGTGAGAGGGAGGAGAGATGCACTAAGTTTATTCTGTGTAGAATGGAAATGTGCACAAACACTGATGCTTGGTGTGTTCACAGTTGTCCTGGTGTTACAGTTAGGCTTGGCCCTTGCGATGATGTATGAATTTCTTCACCTGAATCGAGAATGAAGAGCAAAACGAGCTTTTTAACACTGAGCAATTGCCACAGCCTAGACTGATTCAAAGAATGGAAAGTTGTTCCTGCCTTAACGACGCGGTGCCCTCCGTTTCAGCTGGTGGTTTTCTTGCCGGCGCTGTGCCGCAAGATGGGAGTGCCGTACTGCATCATCAAGGGCAAAGCCAGGCTGGGGCGCCTGGTCCACCGCAAAACCTGCACCTGCGTTGCCTTCACCCAGGTCAACCCGTAAGTATTCCATGTGCAGATTCAATTTGCTATCATGGGGAAAGGAAGCAGCCTTTAAGAGCAGATTGTAGGGCATAGGGGTAACAAATTCGGGTTGCTTTAGCTTAAAGTAATACTAAAGTACGCTTGGGGGTGAGCTGTCTGTATAATGTGTAATACAGATATTGTCTTGTGTGAAGGGCTTTGTCACATCCTGGAGATATGGTTTACTTTATTGGAATGGGTGGAATTAGAAGAGTGGAATTCTAATTCCACTCTTAAGTGGAATTTGTAGGTGAAACTGTAACTATAATCTGAGTGGTGCAAGTTCCTAAGCATTGATGGCTTGAGGAGTTAATCAAGTTTAACATGAAAAATCATGTTGGTTTTGAGTTCTCTAATCCCAAAAGATTTAATGGGGAAGAGTAATATTAATACTTTGAAGAAACTAATGCTGTCACCAACAGGGAGGATAAGGGTGCCCTTGCAAAGCTGGTGGAGGCTGTCAAGACCAACTACAATGACAGATACGATGAGGTAAGATTCTCTTTGCAGCTATCCGTGTCCTTTACAGTTCATACTGTTACCCTATCCCCAATAGCTTTGGAGAATTAGGGGGTTAATTTAAAGCCTGTTGGCTGTGATGGTATCCATATTCTTTGCCCAAGGGTGGAGAAAAGGGCAACAGCCTTGACATTCTGCTGTCACCAAGTTAGGAGCAAGTGGAGCTAACACAGTGCTAGGATTGCCTAGAATAGAGCAGTTAATGCTAGACTCAACCTCTACTCTCCAAGTGACAGAGAATCCATGATAGCTGAATCTGCCCCATTCATAGGGAAGAAAATGTGGTTCACCACTTAAAATATGTAGGAATTCCAAATTGTGAGTGTGTTCCTCTTGTGCATAAAGGAGTGGAATTCTGCAGGTGATGAGAATGATAGTCTAAGAGATTGTATGAGGTATCTAACTTTTTCTCACTTCTTTCCAGATCCGTCGTCACTGGGGTGGTAACGTCTTGGGTCCAAAATCAGTGGCTCGCATTGCCAAGCTTGAGAAGGCAAAGGCTAAAGAACTGGCAACTAAGCTGGGTTAAAGATGTACTCAACTGCTGCCATGTTTCTGTACATAAAATAAACCCCAAATTAAGTTTTGGTGGTCTCTGTTAATGGGAAGGCTTTGGACTGTTGGGCTGTGTGTTAGTTTTGCCATATTACTGTTTATCTTCTCTTGATGCCTTTGAGCAGGTGACTGAACCGCACTGCACAAACAGCTGTGTGGAACAGGTTATTTTGTATTAGGACAAGTACATGCAGTGTGCTCCAAGTGGTTTTAAGTAGCGTACTATTTAGTTTTATTACTATTTAGTTTATTTTATTACTATTTAGTTTTATTACTATTTAGTTTAATTTACTATTTAGCAGCTCTTATTAGGAGGTCTGTGATGCCTCTTCTGTTGCAAGTGGAGAAAGAATCAAAATCTCCTGTTCTTTCCTGGCTGCTGACTTGGTTTTGCCTCTTGTCAGAGGGTACCATGTACCCTGAGGCTCTGGCAGGAGCGGAGAAGGCACCTTGTTGCTGTTGCTCTCTCTCAGCTTTGCAAGAGTGTTATGTGCTGCCTCACCCCTGTGCTAGTGAGTGTCCAGAGTACCCTGTAATCCACGGCTGTCACAGGTGAGATCTGAGGTGTTCAAGCAAGTCCCAAGACCAGCAGCTCTAGGCCCTTATTTATTCTGATTCAGCTGCACAGAGTCACTGTCTTGCCTTTAGGAAGGAGTAGTTGGTACAAAGGAATTTTGTGCTTAATAAAATCTTTTACTATCATTTGCTTAAAATGCAATGATTTTCATGGAAAACACAGCTATAGAGGAATTTTAATTTTGTAGCTTACAACCACTACCCCCTCACAGTGGAAAACTGTAGCCTTGAGCAGTCTCATGAAGCTGATTTAAGCCTCAGTCCAAAGAGGCACATACAGTTTTGAAGTTTGGATTTTTCCAAGCTGCAGCCTGAGTCAGTGGTAGGAGCTCAGAATTAGCATCCATCAATTAAAGTCTGTTTGCATTTTGGCAGCTGCAGCAGTTTATTGAATCCAGGACTTGGAAACCTGGGATACTTGAGTTTTTCAGGACCTTTTCAGGAATTTTCTGTACCACATGAATGAGGTTGCTGCACATAGCCCATACCTGCAACAGAAAAACACATTTTACACTCACTTTTCAAGAGGGAGGGGACTTCCCTAAGTCAGCTGCAGTTTGCACAATTATTTCAAATTGTGTTGCACATGATAAGTTTAAATTCCAGCTTTGCAGCAAAGGCTTCCTTCAGTCTCAGGCAGGAGCTGGATGTCAGGGGAAAAGTACCCACTTGCTTCAAACAGGAGGCAGTTGAAGGCTCTAGGTTAGAGGATGAGCCCCGTGGGGCACTCACCATGTGAGGATGTACTGCAGGTGCTCGTTCCGCAGGCTCACTCGTGTCTGGCCTCCAATGGGCCCCCCTGGGACTGTGCTTCCTATAGGCACAACACAGGGCATCACGTTAAATCTTTCAGACAGTCTGAATTCACGGAATTGTCCTTTCTGTGACAAACAGATGCTGGTAGATGCCTTGGTACCCTACTGCTCTTCCTTAGGCTACAGTGTTCCCAAGTAACTATAAAACCCACAGCTTTAGGGGTAGGTTTTGGGACCAAACTGAACTGAAAAGTGGACTGAGATGGAAGTAAACTGGACACGGAGTTGGGTCCCTCGGTAACTTACTGAAATCTGCGTCGATAAAGATCGGCTCAGCACCAGTCACCTCTGCCATGGCTGCCAGGTCACGGTAATGCCAACGGTTCTTTTCAATGTTATTTTCAGGCACAAAAGGTTTCCGTGTTTCTGACAATCTCACCACTCCAGTGAGATCAATTTCACCTTCAATCTGAAGAAAAGGGCAAGAGACAAAAGGAGGAGTTTTTCAAAATGCACATTTCAGCTCCTGCTAGGGTCTGGTTGCAAAACAACTGATAGTACCACACAGCAAGGCAAAGCTGTGACACGGCAGGGTAAAAGATCAGGATCAGGTCCTTGTTTGTAAAAAAAAAAAAAAACCACTTTCTATACTCAGTAAAAGAGGTGGGAAGAAAACCCCTGTTTTTCAAGAAGTACAAGTTACTTAAATAAACTCCCATGACGCTCAAAGCAGTTACTGCCTTTCTTGGACAACAGTGTCTCTTTGGGTAACAACAAGTAGAAAGTAACAGACAAGGCCTCCCTCTGTTCCTCTTACCTGTCCCTTCAGCCTGGTCTCTGGTTTCAGCTTCTTTTTGGGCACAAATCCTCGGTTGACTAAAATCGTGACCCTAGAGTTGCACAGAGAAGATAAACATAGCTCATTAGAAGGAAATTTCCCATT